CCCTGGGAATAAATATGTGGGGTTTTACCAGCAAAACTTTTTTCTATAACTTCCTTTTCTATAAAAGTGGGTGTCACATTTAACTAGATGTACTCTGTATATCACCTGGAACATGGTATAATTTATTAATTATTATTATTACTGTTTCCATCAAATTAATTTTTACCAGCAAAACTTTTTTATATAACTTCCTTTTCTACAAAAGTGGGTGTCACATTTAACTAGATGTACTCTGTATATCACCTGGAACATGGTATAATTTATTATTATTATTATTACTGTTTCCATGAAATTAATTTTTACCCGTAAGTAATGTTGAAACAGTTCTAAAATCTCTACATAAAGGGAAACAAGGCTAATCGTATCTACATGGAAAAATTTTATGAACTGTTTTCAAGTACTGCTTAATCAATTTTACTAAATTTTTACAAGATAATTCTGAATGTATAAGGAATAGTTTGAGATAAAATGGTCGTAACTTAGAAATTAACGTAATATAACTGCACTGTTGTACAAAAGTTAAAGTAAAAGAAAAATATTGCATTTTAGTTGATAATCTGTTAACTTTAAAAGACACCAACTTGTATTTAAGTCTTTCAACATCCACTAAAGCTTGCAGTCCATCTTTCTTTCAAGTACGTTTTGTAAATATTTTGTTTTACTTTTATGTAAATGTAAATGTGTGTAAAACTTCCATCCACTTGGACGCCAACTTCCCATTTCAACCCCACCTTATGAATTTTATTTCCTTTTTGCCATTTTTCAAATGTGTAATCTATTTGATTCTCGGCGATAAATGAAATGGCCACGGAGAGCTTTAGTGAAGTATACTTCATTTTGCTTATTAAATCGATTAGGTTTCTTGGTCCGATTGACCAAATAACTTAAAAAATGGGATGTTGGTGGCCGAGTGGATCGAAGTCACGATAGCTCAAGTGGTAGAGCAGCGGCGTATTTAGTCGAAGGTCGTGGGTTCGAATCCCGCTCGTGACACTGACTTTATTATCTCAACCAATACCTTACATAAAAATTAATTAATTGAAAGATTTTATATTATATTATGAATTTTATTATTGAATTTAGAACAATCTAATTCAATAAGTGTCATTAAAATGTTTGTACAAAAATACTAAACATATAGACAAAAATGGTTCAAGATTTGAATAAATCGAAATTAATTTGGTATTTAGTAAATATTGGTCATATTAGTGTGAAAGTAGTTGTAACTAAAATAAGTTTCATTTTAGAAGTTAGAAATTATTCAATCAGAGGTAACTCCAGACAACGGACTGATGTCATTTTATTTCTCAGGGCAGTTATGTTTCAATTCCGTCGGTACATCCGGTTTCTCTAGTCTCTTTCGGCTACCGACGAGATGATAAAAAAAGTTAAATGGAATTCATAAATTTACGAGACGTTTCATTACAAACATCGTACTTTCCCTCCGACACGAGGATTCGGTGGATTACAATAATGAACCGGGTATAATCAATTTTAATAGTAGCCTATTGATTACAACCATTTATTACCATTACGTAATTCTAAATGGTATGGATTTAAAATATTTTCCCTGGGGGTATTAAGGTGTGGTTTTTTTATAAAAAGGCTATCTAAAGCTATAAGAAGACATATCTATCAAAGTTATCTGATAATACAACTGCTTTTGGTGAAAAATTAAAATTGCAGTTTGTATCAAGTTGAATAATATCTCATAAGATAAATCGGGAAAATTTTTTTAATTCCCTAAATCCCCTTGTTGGTTTATTTCGTTCAATCAATAATAATTCATCTTCAGTATTGGAATATTATTTATGGGACGAGAAAGGTGTACTAGTCATCGCCGGCCAACTGCGCCTAAAACGGAAAATTTTGCGTTTTTTGAAGCATCTTTCTCACTGTCTCTCTCATACCCTCTCGTTTTTCCATCAGGTTATCAAATTACTGTTGAAAGAACAATAAGACATACATAAAAACACACAACACTTAAGGATTTTCGCGTTACCCGCCTCCGGGCATTATTAGGTTAAGCTGATTTCATCAAATACGGATTGAATGAAATAAATAGCCGAGTTGTATTATAAAAAGAGAGAAGAAAGATGCCCCTGGTCTCGTACTTCTTAATGTACGAGGCGGGGCTGCTTTCTCCTTGATCTTGACCTTCCTTCAAAGCCAAGTCTGACCTTCCTTCATTTCTTCTATTTATATAAGATATCCTGTGATTCATTTCGCCTTTTTTTTAAACATTTCTATTTTCTTTTAATATCCTGTAATGTTTTTATTGGTGGTTAAAAATGTTCATTCCATCAGATAATCTTGGTAACAAGACTACAAAAATTTAAAGAAATACGTAATTCAAATTTTATTTACAAACAAATAATAATAATAATTTTAACTTAATTTGGAGGTAAAACTATTTTAAATCTAGGATGTTGGTTTTTTTTAAAAGTAAATATACTGATTTATTTTTATGCAACATATTTATTTCAGTTGCTAATGCATTTCGGCCACGTCCCTGGACCTTCCTCAGAGCTCCCTAATTAGCTAAAATAAATTGGTGTGTTTAGTTAAAAAAAAACTAACATTCTAGATTTAAAATTAATATTAATATTTAAAATATTTATTGTCTAGACACTGTTTTTAATGGCTCCACATAAACTAGTCAAGTGTGTTCGTGATTTTATTAGTTGCCTTGCTTAAAGATTCAAAGATTTTTTAGCACTCTTCACCCGTGCTCGGAGCCATAGATTCAGGGGACATGGATTGACAAGCATTTTCTATCGTTTGCCGCAGCTCTTCAATTTAGTGCTTGGTTATGATTGGCTAGACTCTGCTTTTTAAATGGCCCACAGAAAATAGTCAAATGGCGCAAACAATTGTGTGCGAAGTATCTATCAAGCTGAAGACGCATTCTTTGTTGTAGAGGAAATCATCTAATAGTGTTAGTAAAACCTCCCTCAAAAAATTGAGAAACTGAGCACCATATAAATTATTTTCGTAGAAATAAGGCCCAATTACTTATTTCCGAGAAGTCAACACCAAACGTTGATACTGTGAACCTGATGACGTAAGTACGAAATTCTCGGATTTTCCTCTGCCCACGTTCGTAAGTAAATTCCATCAGTTTAGTACCCCATTAGAGGTGAACTTGGATTCATTAGTCCGTAGGATGAATGGAAGAACGTTTTCTTCAACCTCCCAGATCGACATTTGTGCAAGGAACGTTAGACGCCTGTCATAATCAGAGTCCCAAAGTACCTGGAGAAGATGAGAGGCATGAGACCGTTACCGCTTAAAATTGTAAGTCCGGAGTACATCTCTAATTTTATTTTTTGAAAAACTTAAATCCCTCCAATATTTCGGAGTGGGGAATTCGGATTTTCGCTAACATACAATAAAATATTCAGCTTCTCGTCCAATTTACCCTGCCGGTTTCTTGGTGATGCACCAGATTCTTATCTCCTCGTCGCGAGCAATACGAATAAGCCTTTTGTGATTTACTCTGGGGCGCTCAGGAAATTTTTGGAAGAACAATTCGGCTACACAACGCGCGATACCACCACTATCAATAAAGCAGTCGTACTCGCAGTTTTTCGGAAAAATATACTCGGTTCATTTTGATTTGCATACTGAACATAACGAATAGGTCCAATTGTAAAATTTATTTACTCCCAGAATTTAAGATTTCCTCTCATAATGCGAGTTTGACAAACAATGACAGATTGTAAACAATAAAGGCAATTAATGTTTACTTTAGTGAAGAAGCAAATTATTGGAATTAACAACAAAACGAACGAAATGCGTTTTTTAAACTTTTTGCCATAACTTTGTCATTTTGAGACCAATTTAAATTCCGATTGTACCATTGTTTTCAATGTTAAAAACCCTTCAATAAGATCTGTCAGGATGCATAGGGTCATATTTCAAAATTTTAATTTGAACTGGGACTTTTCTCCCCCCCCCAAAAAAAAGCTGATTTTAGCGCGACAAAATTCTGAAAATGAGCAGGTGGAAAATTTCAATTAAACAAACTTTCTTCAGCGAAAAACTGCTTTTCAATGTAATAATACATGAAAACTTCTTTTGACAAAAAAAACAAAACATTTTTATTTTTAAATTACAAGGCATTGAATTGTTTTTATTTCTTCCACAACGACAATATTTTTTTTTTTTTTTGCGTGTGTGTCCCTGTGAACTGCTTAATACTAAATTGGATATGTGATTAGTCAACAATGTGGTTTTTATTAAAGCTTTTAATACAAATAACGAGTGATTTTGCAAAATTTTTCTATTTATACAGTAATTATGTGAAAAGAATAAAAATGACCAACTGACATACACAATTTTATGCGTTATAATAAACGCTATTATTAATATATAAAAAATTATAACATAATTATTAAAAAAACAAGATTTTTCTTAAAAATGTAATATGAGAATTTTGCAACAACTTTTGTTTTATCAAATGCATTAGATGAAGAGGCTTATTTATTTCTTTTTTATTCCATTGGTCAATGAATTTTTTGGTTCACTCATCATTCTGTGTGAAATTATTTAGCTTTGTTTTTTGTATACCCTGGATCGACTAGCATATTTGTTTTGACATTTATTGTTTTTCTTCCACAATGCACCAATACAATTAAAAAAACTAAAGAAAAAACATCATATAAACTTTATAAACTTAATACAATATATCATATTACTAAATATTTTTGTTTTTATAGAAACTGTCTTTTAAACCTATTAACTTACATATTAGTAACTTTAAAATGTATAACAAATACTGTTTTATATGTTATTCACAATAAGTGCTCTCTCTCTATATATATAATTTATAATAATTATTAATTATGTAATTTATATAAATACTGTACAAGCAAGTAGAAAAAAGAATATACAGTAGAATATACACATGAGGAAGATTTTTAAAAAGCGAGAAACTATACATTTAAAGAAATAAATACAAAAAATTTGTACAAAACAGTTATTTATATTTTAAAAACAAATATATGAAAGAAACATAAAGTTGAAATCATAATAAAATATACATACATAATAGTATCACAGAAAGTTTTATAATGACTAGACTTCGGTTGTGAAGTGGGGTTATAGAAGTTTGTGCACACGTTTAGTTCGACATGGGGCAAAGTATGAATCATGATTTCCAGACACGCAGTTTTCTTAAAGAAACACGTTTTAGCCTTGAAACGGCTGTTCTCATATCTGGTGTCAAGTCGTCATCAGAGAGGGTCTCCCCTTCTGAATGGACTTCTCGCTGTCTACGGCATGACCCTGTGTCCCTAACACTACGACTCAGCCCGCTGAGTGGAAATTTTGCTTTAGCAGTAGGATCACTAAGTGCTTCACCGACCGGCAGCTTGGCAAGACCCTTGCTTAATCTATCTAAAGTTGTCGTCCTCAAGTTTCCCCCTTGCCTTCTTATCTCTCTTTCTCGTAGTATGAATCTCCCGATCGTCTGCCAATGTGCTTGAGTTCGAAATATATTTTCGTCATCGGGAAGAATACGTTGCTGATGTGTATTCCCCCATTTTAGTTCCTCTAGTAAGACAAACCTTGTAGGGTCCTCCATTCGTCTAGCTTTAACTAAAGCTTGTGCCAAAACATCTTGGGCACAGGCACTTAGAGGAACTTTTAATATTGCATAAGGTATTTCAGGAGATACGTTATGTACGCAGACTAAAAAGTTGTCAGCTTCATCCCATGTTCTAGCTTGCTTTACTCTCGTTGATCTTATTGAGGATAACCAAGCTCTACTACTGGGATCATCCCCCATTCTTTTAAGTAGGAACTTTCCTTCACCTTGCCATTGGGCCTGTGCTTGCAATGGGCACTCTTGGGGATCAAGTACTCTTTGGGTGGGTGGAGCTTCCCTGTCTTTTCGATCCCAACCACGAGACACTTCTTCAACTAGTACATAGTCGTGAACCCTTTCTGAACCTTGACCGGACTTTTGAAGAGCCTGCAGCACAACTTCCTGGGTGGTACTTTCTTGTGTAATTTTTAGTATTGTATACTGCTCTTCTGGTACAACCCCATACACCATTAGGAAAAACATTCTTCTTTTTCCAGTAGGTCGAAGTTCTTGCTTCGCCGTATTCTTTTCACTGCCTCTGTCTCCAGGTATCTCACTTTGGCTGACACTTTCCTCTTCCGTTCTGGAATAAACAAACAAGGTCGATAGTTGAAGTGGTTGGTTTTGTGGTGTACGCAGCCTAACATGTCTATAACCAGGCCGCAGGCACTTTAAAGGTAAAACTCTTTGGCAAACATGATGATTTGTATTTGAGTCCACGACAGTAAACCTCAAAAAGGCCAAATCGGAAAACATAACTTGAAAAAAGAATGGTTCATTCCAAATTGGGTTTAAGGCATTTCTTTGAACTACTTTTGTCTTTTGCTTGTTGCAATCGACTGGTATACCTATGAGTTCCACTTCTACATAAACACTTGCTGTGAGGTTTGTCTGATTTACATACTGGCCAGAAATTATATTCAGTATCATTTGTGATGAATGAAGCCCATCAAATTCCTTCTCCCAAGGGTTAAATCTCCGGTACATCATATGAGATCTGTCTCTCATGACTGCAGGTTTAGGAACATAGCCACACCTTCCATTCTGTTCGAACATTGCACTATTCAGATGAAGGGCTGCGTCTTCAGTTTGATAATTTAAAGCAACCATCTGAATGCCAAACGCCCAAAATATGACAGGATTGAAATTTGAAGAATCGATTCTCATCCCTGCAGGATACGTCCTCACAAGCTGTGTCTCTGTATGTGCTATCAGTGCATGTGGTTGCTTCCGACACAATTTCTTGGCAGAGTTTTCATTCAATGACGAACACTGATAACACGGATGGTATGTATTTGCTCTTCCTTTTGGGTACGAGTGTGAATCAGAAGGGCACGGACTGCTGAGTCCAACTGGTCCACCAGTCAATGACGCTCCGCTTCCTTTTTTCAGGATGACACTAGATGTTACAGCTGCAACAGCAGCCACCCTCTTGCACCTCACTGAGCTATTTGGACTGATTGTGTTTAAACCTCTAAATTTGATAGCCTAGTAACAAAATAAAAAATTAATTTCCAATTAAACTGAACTAAAAGTTAAAAATGAAATTAATTTTAAAAAATTATATACCTGAACATATACAACAATGTCAGAGAGCTCTCGGGCAATTTGACTGCTTTGTTTTTTAGCTTTGTGGGCATTCTGGTCATCTTCAAGAAGAGCCCAATCTATATCTGCAGGCTGGCTAATTTTTCCAATTGATCTTGATGGTGTTTTCAATGCAGAATCATGACTTGACAGTGAATCCGTTCTTGGACATTCAGCTGCTAGCAAAATGACATATTTTTACTTTTAATCAAAACTGAGCCTTTGTAATCATTTTGTGCAACCAAAGAAACTACCAAGCAGAAGATAGGAACATGAGAACACTAATTTTAACTTCATAACGTTGATGTGATTTAGTTTATTATTATTATTTTAAACACATTTAGTTTATTTTTATTATTTCTAAATCCTGCCAATGGGCCCTTGGAGACTAGGAAAAAGTTATTTTATGTAATTTTTTAAATATGTTTTTCTGTCTTTATTATGCATGTATTTCAATGATATTATATATCATTACAGGTGAATTTCTATGCAGAATAAGAGAGTATGCAATCTTAATTGCAAATTCAATTAGGTTTGATATATAAACAGTTGCAAATACCGACACTAAAAAAATAGTAAAATAGGCGCAAAATATTTGTGTTAAAAAATTTGAATTCATTTTAAGCTTCCTGTAAAACCATTAAATACAAATTTTCATTGCAATCAAAAACAGACAGTTTTGAGCTGGATTTGGCAAGGGTAATTTTTTTATTGCCAATGTCAGGTGTTCTACTAGAATAAAAGAACAGTTAAATAAAAAATAACAGTTGTAATAATGTTGGATTTGAATGAAATCCAGAGGTATTAAGAATTTTAAGTGGAACACCAGACATCAGTTACAGAAAAAATGCCCCTGGATATCCACCCCAAAAAAATATATTTTTTGTTTGCATTGAAAACTCAAATTTAATGGTGTAACAGGTTGCTTAAAATGAATGTATTTTTCAAAGACAATTTCTTTCTGAGGTCATTTTAACTCTCAGAGAGCCGATATTTTTGAAAGCCCATTTGTAAGTATGTTGGGTTCGAAATTACGTAAAATATATTTGTTCATTGGCCAGACTAATATTTTTTAACCTAGTATCACTAGAAATAGATTTATTAAAATCTGTGATACTACATGTGTAGCCTCCCTTTTGGGTAAATGATATAATTTTTTACTTAAATTCAACACACTACCTTCAATGTTTTCATCTTCATCTTCATCCTCATCATCGTCATCATCACTAAAATCATCATTAACTGAGCCACCACTTGTGTTTGAAATTATAGAGCTGGCTCGCCCAGATGGTGGTAGCTGGTGGCCACGTGTCTTTCCTCCTCTCGTAATAGGAAAAGGCGGTGGAATTTCAGCGGTTAATTTCTTGTTTTTAATCAATATGCGATATTTGAGCTGTCCAGGAGATGGAAGGCAAGGCTCATCAGAAAAGTCACTTTCAAATAAAAATTTGGTCACCAATTTCTCACCAAACACATTCTAAAAAACATGAACACAGTGTCAATCTATACCGCATGGTTGAAGAATTTATTGTAGTACTTGAAATATGTGAGCCATTCTCGCTTGTTGTTGAAGTGAACAGTGATTTTCTATCGAAAGGATAACTGGGTATGGTGAGGTAACAAAGGCACTTCGGTTTATAGCTTCCACAACAGATCTAAAAGGTATCTTCGTTGTGAAAGTATGACCATGGTAAATAAGAGGTGAACCATCATCACCATCCCAACAATCTAGCTCAACACATCTACATCCACTCAAAAGAACCTAAAAAATATATATATAAATTAATAGATTTAAACAAACATAAACAAAAGAAAAATACCTGACTATAAAGATCGACAGATGATTCTCCTTTTAACTGATGACCAGTAAGGTAGGTATTATGTGATGAAGCTATGTAATAATGTGACAACGGATAATCCATTTCCCTTTCATCAGGGCTCACTTTTTCATTGACAAAGGCAAAGTTTTCCTTGTCCATTAAATATCTGGCGAAACCCTCAAAGGATAAGCAGTTATGTGACCTCAACGTTGGGTCTGGCTCATGGCGCTGAAAAAAACATAGCACGGTGAAAAATTTGCACCAAAACTCCAAAAACAAATTCTAACCTGTATTAAATCCTTGACTTCTTCTTCTGTATATTGTTCTAGCTGTTTTGTCTCGAGGAACTTAGCAAAACTGCTCAATTGGATGACCTGGGACTTTGAGGAGTCCACGCTGGCACGGTTTGATATTATGCTGGATGTTGCGATCGCATCAAAGATTTTTTTCTTCTGCATTGCCGGGGTGTTTTTGTAATCTAGCAAGTCGGCTGAACTGTTTCTAGTTAGAAGGCCTATTAAAAAATATATAAATATTTAAAATTTTTGTGTACATATAAGTAAATCAAAGAAATTTTATTTATCAATTAATTTTAAATCAAATGTGGCAATAAATATTAACAAAGTAAGAACTTTATTTCAATTTATTTGACCCCCAACAGTTGAATGTTTAGATGTATATAAAACTTTAAAATTTGTTTTGCTAAGTTCTGTAATGTTATGAAATTTAGTCATTGGCTAAGAAATTATCAATGTTGTAGCTTGGCAGTTATTTGTACAAAGTGTATTGTTGACAATTAAACCATATAGATAATATAAAGAAGAATAATAAAAAATGTGCAATATGAAAAATGTATTAAAAGATAAAAAGAACGAGCCATTCATTTTTTCTTGCCTATTGACTATCCATATGGTTAAAAATATCCTTTGGCTAAATTTTAATTAAATTTTTGTGTTAAATTCTTATCAATTGAGAACTAAATCATTCCATTTTCTATTTTAATTTACAAACCTATTTTAGGTGCCCTTCCAGAGTGTTCTGGTGAACTCTTAAGACTACCATCATTAAGAGAGCTGTCTGACATGCTCCTACAAGACATTGCAAACTGGTCGAAAAGATCCTTAAGGTCTTTACGTGCACGTAAACTGTAAAAATAAATTGAAAGATGTAACAAAGAAGAAAAAGCCTATTTCTAGCTATTTCCTAGGTATTAAAAAAAATTTATCAAATTCTAAATTAAAACTACCTGAATGAACGAAATAGGGTTACGAAGTCAACAAAGTCAAGTTGTGTTTCATGTGTAATTGACCCATGTCGAAAATGACCGACAGGCCAAATAATCTCCTTTTTCACTCGGTCCCTGCCAAAATATATTTAGTTTATAGAAAATGGGTGATTGAAATCTGTGAATGATGAACTTGCATTGCAGTTTATTCAGCCGCAATAATCCCCATTTGGCTAGTTTCCTTGATTTTATCTGTCAGGTGAATTTAAGCAATTCACCAGAATAAAAGAGGTATAACTAATAAAACAACAAATAAACTCAAATCTTAATTTAGTTGAATGTTGAAATGCACCTGACAGACAAATTTAGGATCATAAACGGTCGAACTTCAAATTTTAGAAAAGCAACGTAGAAACGAAGAATAATTTACCTGTGGTGATGAGTTGGACTAGAAGAATCAAGCTGATCGCTGGAACCCTGAGGACTAGTGCCAGGTCTTGCTTCCATTTCACTTGATATCGACCTAGATCTACTTGGTGGTAGAGCTGGACTTGGTAATGCCCTTTTGTATACTATGCTTGACACTTCTTCTTGGCATGTATCCGGCTGATATAAATGTTTAGGTTAGCAAATATTTAATATGTATTATTCATATTACAAATATGCAAAACTATAATATATTTCTCAAAAAATATTTTATACTAACCCTGAGACTTTGTATATTCCCGAAAGACCTCTTTTTCATAAACCGGGCCGATGCGCCGCGTCTCAAGGTACCATTATCGGGAGGTGACATCCCACTAATATGACCTGTGCTGGCCCAATCCCTACCACCGAACACCTATAAAAGCTACTATTAGCCCTGATTTAAGTAATGTTAGTTTAATTAATGCGTTGTCCGAAAAATAATGCAGGTTTTCTTGTTTTCTTTCAGTTTACCTCTCTATTTAATAAACGTTTTGTTTGATGGATTATTCTTTTGTACGGATGTCAACACTTTTTAATCATCTTCCAAACAAAATAGATGTTTGTTTACCTCAGTAGCAATTCGTTACTTGAGAATAATTCAGTCTTTACTAAGATATCGCGCGTTTTTACGTAACTTCGTTTTACGAGGGTAAACTTGGGTTGGGACGGTGCCCATACGGCCAGAAACATTAATGAAGTATGTAGCGATGGCAATGCATTCGAGAGAATCTTTCAGTTAGCAAACCGACTGTAGCTGACTACCTTATGGCAATTGGAAATGTTAAAAAGCTCGAAAGTTGGGTTCGTCATGCTTTAAACGACTGCCAAAAAAATCATCGTTATGAAGTTCGTGGGTTCCTCATGCTTTAAACGACCGCCAAAAAAATCATCGTTATGAAGTTCGTGGGTTCCTCATGCTTTAAACGACCGCCAAAAAAATCATCGTTATGAAGTTCGTGGGTTCCTCATGCTTTAAACGACCTCCAAAAAAATAAAATTAAAATTAAAAAATAATAATAAAAAATTAAAAAATCAACGTTATGAAGTTCGAGAGAATCTTTCAGTTAGCAAACCGACTGTAGCTGACTACCTTAAGGCAATTGGAAAAGTTAAAAAGCTCGAAAGTTGGGTTCCTCATGCTTTAAACGATCGCCAAAAAAATCTACGTTATGAAGTTTGTGCAACACTTCTTTGCCGAAACAGAAACAAACATTTTCGGAATAGAATTGTTACTTGTGGTGAAAAGTGGATTCTCTACGATAACAGCAGACGTTTGCCACCAAAAAAAGGTGACGGTGATTCTCTGCTGGGCTGATTTTCTACAGTTTCTTGAATTCCGGCAAAACATTCAATGCCGAAATGTACTGCTCTCAAATTGAAGCAATACACCAGGAATTGGCATTATTGAAGCCGTTTTTGGTCAATCGTAAAAGGCCGATTTTATTACACGACAATGCTCGGACTATATCTCACATATGACAACACGAAAATTGTTGGATCATGGTTACGAGGTTCTGCCTCACCCTCCATATTCTCCAGACCTCCCGCCAAACGACTATTATTTTTTAACTTGGGCACCATTTTACAACGTAAAAAATTTATTGAACAAAAGTCGTTAGAAAATGCTTTCATAGAATTTGTTAATAATAAAGACTGAAAATTCTATTCCGAGTGTATAGAGAAAGTTGCCATCACGTTGGGAGAAGAGTACTGAGAGTGATGGAGGATATTTTAATCAATAAAAAATGTTTATAATCGTTTATTTTATAACCATAAACCTGCATTATTTTCCGGACAACCCAATATTACAGATCCGTTACCCTGATTGCATCCACTGCCAAAGGACCTGAACAGCTTTCTTCATAGAAAAGTTGGAGGTATTGCTCTTTCAGCCAGAACATCCTTCGGTCACTCGATAGGAGATGCCTTTTCAGACCTCTAACCACACACGATAGTCCGTTGTACCACAGCCTGAACAAATAAAATGAAACAAAGCACTGAATTTATAAGATGAGAATATAAACAACTAATTGTTTTCAGTACTTTTCATTACATTGCTGAAGATGATCTAAAAGCCTTTAAAAACAAATCGCAGGTACATTTATAATAAAAGTAATTTAATTTCTTTCTTCTCCATTTGGTGTCGCGTACAAAATGTAAAAACCACTTTACAACACTTTTTCCTATTATGATCGATTAAAAACCCATGGACCATGGCGGGATTCAAACCCAGAACAACTAGAATGGCACATGGCAACCACAGTCCACTAAATTTATAATACTTGAATTATAATATGCAATTAGGTTTATGAAACATTAATCAAGAATAATATCCCACTTATGTACAACATACTGGAAAAACTGAAAATTTCGAGATATCTGCCATTTTACTTGAGCTCAGTCGGCAGGAATCAAGGAAAATACTGTAATAGACCTTTATAAGAGCCAGACCAAAAAGACCTCTAAAAAAAACAGCTGACATTGGAACATATCTTATGTTTGCTTTTTCTAGAAATATCTTATGTTTGCTTTTTCTAGAAATATCCGGATTTCACGCTTAAAGCTCATCATCAGATTGAAGGAGGAGTGAACCCGCCGATCCACCGCCAATGAAATGTTCGTAAAAGATGTTGGGTTTTTGATTCCCTCAGTTTATTATTATTAATAATAGAATTAATTTATTTCATTAATGTGTACGTCAAATATTATTTAGATACATTTTTAAAATAGGATGTGTATCAAAATCTATTACATTATTTATGCATTTATCTACATGTTTAATTTTACTTTTTTTTTAAATTTGTAGTACATTACAACTACCTTAAATTAGGTAACAAGTAACAGTGAGCAAGATAATATATACAAAATTAAAACCAAGAGTGGAGAAAACACCCATTGCTAATTACTCCAATGTTACAATAATATTGTTTGTTTAATTGATACGTGTGACATTATCACTTTCACTGTCATCACCATCACTTCCTAGGAGATCTCGCGGCCATTGTCTCTTCAGTCGGCGAGGAGGGTTTGAGGGGATTCGTCGGGATGCGAGGTTTCTGATGTGCTGGTTTACGTTAGTTGGGAGGTTTTTATGAAATTTACGGTAACAGAAACGTATTTCATCTTGTGAAAGGGGTATGTAAATCTGTATGTGTAGTTTGGTTCGAACCATAAAATGGAGCATCTAATATTTTTCGTAGTATTAACTACTACGAAGACTGGTCAGTTTGAATGCGGTGGATGTTGGAATGTTTGGCTGAACCCTACACTTCCAGTCCGTAAGTCCAAATCGGCTTAACTATGATGTTGTAAAGCAGCCTTTTATTTTTGAGAGGTAAATTAGAACGTTTGTCAAAAAGTCGTGCAAGAACTCTATATCGTGTCATAACCTCCTGACATTTCAGTCGTGTGTGAGGATTCCACGTCAGGCGTTTGTCGATGTACAGTCCGAGGTACCGCACCTTGACCGCAGTTGGGAGGGGAATATTATTTATGAAAACGGGGGGGGGAGATCTTTTTATGAAGAGTGAAGGTAATATAGGTGGATTTGTCTGTGTTAAATTTTATTCTTTTCTTTTTACACCAAGACTCTAGTAGTATGAAGTGTTGTTGGAGGTTTAGAGTGGAAATGACAAGGTCGGAGTTGCCGTATCGTCTGCAAATTTGATTGTGATGGTTTCGGGATGAGATGGCATGTCAGCTGTAAAAACCTGGTATAGTGCAGGGGCCAGAACGCTACCCTGAGGAACACCAGCATGGATAGGAAAATATGCAGAGAGGGAATGGCCTTCTTTGACTTGGAAGAATCGGTCAGTGAGGAACTGTGCAGTACGAGATAGTACGTGAATGGAAGGATGCCCTTGAGTATGAACAGCAGGCCCGGGAGCTATACTCGATCAAAAGCTTGGCTTACGTCAAGAAATGCTCCGGAACAGTACTGTCCCACCTCAAGGGAGGAGGAAATAATGTCTATCACGCGGTGACACTGCTGGACAGTTGAGTGACGGTTGCGAAAACCAAAAGTCTGGGATTATGTTTTGAGAATTTAGAATCGGATGAATTCTTTTCAGTAGGAGTTTTTCTAAAATTTTACCCAAAGTAGGGAGTAGACTTATTGGCCTGTATGAAGTAGTACAATGTGTTGGCTTTTTTTGCCCTAGGGAACATTCGAATATACGAGTGCTTCCAAGCTATAGAGAAGTAGGTTGATCGAAGAACCTACTTACAGATTAAGAACAGAATTAAATAGGTATGTAATGAATATGATGGAAGGTGTTGGAGAATTTTTGGGGAAATAAGATCAAAACCTGGAGCTTTCTTGGATTTTAGGTGTTGTATGATAGAAAGAACATCAGAAGGTAAAAAAGGTTTAAGAGGGAGGGATAATAGAATCGGTGAGTGTAAATATTCCTTGATAAGTTGTGAATAAGTATGGTCTATTATGTTGACATGTGGGGTGAACACTGTGTTCAGGTAAGAGGCAAAAGCATTCGCTTTTTCCTCATGTGACTTTGCCCAACTGCTGTCGACTTGGCGAAGAGGGGTAGATATTTTGTAGTAAGATAGAAGATTTTTAGCTGCCGCCCAGAGCGATTTGTTTTCTGTTGTTAGTGCTTCAGTAAATCGTCTGAATCGGTAGGAGCTTATGCTATGTATACTTGTAATTCCGTAGTCAGCTGATGTGTTAGTTTATTCAGTTTTCGTTTATCTGAAGGGTAACGTGTTCTTTGCCATTCTTTATGAGCTTGTCTTTTTGATCGTATAAAGTAGCGAATATAAATAATATTAATGTGCTGAGAATATGTGTTTTGTGGATGTGTGTGAATTGTTGTATCAGTGATGGATTCAGTTGTTGATACATTTTTTATTATATAATATATAAATAATTTTATATGTTATTTTTTTATACATTATTTTTATATATTATTATATAATATATATAAATAATTTTATATTTTTTATTTATATAATCTCTAAAACCTACTCTAAAACCTTCTCGTTTATGGATTTTATCTACTTTTTCTGATAGGTCCCCAACGTATGTATAGTAAGCATCGAAAACCTAATGATTTGTTTGGTGGGGTGGCCGAGTCCAATTGTTGCTTCTTTTAAACTTATTTTTTTTAAATTCTTTTTACTAGCAACCTATCAATAAATAATTCTTGATATCCATTGTTTTTAGCTAAGGTGCTAATTATTTGTATTTCTTTTTTATAAATAGCAGGTGTTAATGGGAGTTTCAGTTCTATATGACTACGAGCCAAATGAAACCTGTAGTTTTTTGGGTCCATGAGTGAGAAGTATTTGCTGGTATTCATTATTTAATAAAACGACATGCAAATTAATCACTAATTTAAATATATTTTCTTACAGTATTTATTAAGATAATAAAGACGCGCTTGTAACTCCACCAACCTGATGATGAGCTTTAAGCGTGAAATTGGGATAGCTGTAAACAACAAATTTTTGAGTAGAACCATATTTTACATAAAAGTGAATCTACGTACTCAACCCACCTTCATCATTTCTACCATATCTGATATGACTGCAAAGCATTGGCACGGAAATAGTAGAGCCACTATGAAAGGCAACACTGACGACTAAGAAAATGAACAAATAAATATTCACCTGCTAGTGAGTGTGTGGGTAGTACATTTTCTTATGTATATACAAAAGGAACAATTAAATAATAGACCTTTTAGGTCGTCGTAATAGAAAGGGACGACTATCGTCACCAGTTACTCAGGCGAATTTGAATTGAAATTATAGTAATTTTTTCTCTTTAAAAAAAACCTAATCTAAAAAGGTGTAGGGGACCGCAGTAACCGAGTGGACAGGGTGATAAGACTTCCAGCTTGTAGACCCCAGTGTCGTGAGTTCAATTCCCACCGTCGCCCCAGGCCTTTTTTCACGACCTACTTCCTTCAGTATATAACTGCTATATAAAAAATGATGTTCCACAACACTGTGCTCTTGCGAATTTGCAAAGACGTAGAGTGAGAAACTCTTCTCCAATTCAGAATCATCCAAGCTTCCTACTGACCAGGCAACGAGAGAGCTTCTCTGTCGAACGTGACTTTGATGGATGCTACCTCTTGCTTTTATTTAACTTGGGTTGGGACTTCTTGGCCTTAACCACCCTACACCCATACAACCACCACTGTTTTCTGAGATACATCAGTTCAGAGTATCTTTTCAACAGAGCTCGATGAGACAGTATGATCAGAACCCCCATCGGTTCGAATCACCCAAAGCACAAACATTCGTTATCATTCTGCCAAAACGTACACTACCATTGTACAAGGCGCATTCACACCAGTCATACACTTATCCAAAGTTAAGTGTGTTTAGGTAAATAAAAGTTAAACATTTTGTTTTTAAAGGCTACAAAACTTTATAAGAATTAAACTTTTCTTGCTAAGCCGAAATTACTAAATCAGTGAATTAGTTTTATAATCCTTAATTTTTCGTGGTCCGACTAACCAAATAACTTCTTTCAATTAATTAATCTTTATGTAAGGTATTGGTTAAGAAAAAAAAGGTAGTGTGTAGGTGAATCATGAGCGGGATTCGAACCCATTTGAAAAATGGCAAAATGGAGGGAAAATTTGAAAAATAGGTTGAGATGGCAGTTGGTGTCCGAGTGGATCGAAGTCACGATAGCTCAAGTAGGTTAGATCAATGGCATATTGAGCCTAAGGTCGTGGATTCGAATCCCGCTCGTGACACTAACTTTTTCATTTCAACCAATACCTTACATAACGAGTTATTTTTATAATATTGGTTGATAGTTCAAGATACTATACTTAAAACCCGTTACACAAACAATTTTAAAGTACCTGCAAAGCGTAGGAGGCGACAGTAGAAACAAAACCCTGTTGTCACTTAGGTTCATTCCATATACCAGAGCTAGACAAACCTCGTTGACAGAATGTCCTTCCAGCCCATACCTTCTGAGAACATTAGAAAGATCAGGGCTTTCTCTGTCCCTGGGTCCTAGGGCGATTTCTTTGACCAACGAGAGTTCCAGGAAACCTTCTTCCAGTCCAGTCTCCGCGGCTGTCGAGCCGGTCCATTTGCCACAAACGTTCTCCTCTGGGTTGGAACTGAGGTTGTAATCCTGCACCTGGAGTGATGCCGTTCTCAGCCCAGACCAAGCCGGCTTCGCCCAGGAGATCAGAGAACAGGACCTTTCGAGTCTCACGTAAACGAGGCAGGAACGGCCGGCTTCTCCTTCCCAGTGAACAGCTGTACTCCCATGGTGCAGCATCTTAAAAAAAGATAAGTGAAATTCTTGCCAATTTGTACGATCGCCATACACATACTTGTAGGATATGGTGATTAAGGCCGGAATTTGGAGACGATATAGGGAAAAAACTAACTCCGTGGTCATTATGAAGTGGTTGCACAGGCCTGTATGAGTCCATTTCGTTATCTGCGTCTTCAGTCTCTTCGGTCATGTACGGCCTTTCTATACTCACCGTATGTATACTACTGCAAATACAGTTACAGTTTATTATTTTCTTTCTTTGCCTAGAAACAACACTAACACAGAAAATAAATAATAATTACCTAAATTGCTCCCGTAATATTTCGATATCCCTGACCCTTGCGTGGTAGTGTTGGTGGAAAGAGGCGATTTTATCCATCACAGCCTGAGTTTTGTAAATTTTGTCCAGGTTGATAAGACCACCTGGGCCGATCCTCGTGAAATAATGGTCCTCACCGTTGTAGTCGGATATAAACTGAAATATTAAACATACTGTAGTTTGTAATTTGTATTTACCATTTGTGTTTTTCAAAATGGATAAAAATACATGTACTTTATTATGTACCAGGCAATGCTACACAGCATCTTTGGCCAAAGGTTGCCAACATTTATTCATTCAACAGACATACTTTCGGCATAGTATTTATAAAATTTTACAGGAAAAAATGATAAGGACATTTTTAGGCTAGATTACCGTGTTTTTATTATTCAATTTGTAAACTGTCTAGGGGAATCATTAAAAAAGTCAACTCCGTTGCATAGTTTAATACGTAATAGAGTCAAATGAAGGGTAAATGGTAAAGGCTGTTGGTGAAGGAGTAGCAAAGAGTTTGTTGCATTTATCGATTATTTTGGCTTTTTTAGTTAAGTTACCTAAGTATATTTTTCATTTTCGACTGCCTAAGGGTCATGTTGAGGTTTTTGTTTTTATGATTCTAGGTGGTATTTTATTCAAGTTAGGAGGTTACGGGCTATTTCGAATTATATGTTTTATACATATGTATTATATCCATTATATTTCGTGGTCCGATTGGCCAAATGAAAAAAGGAATGGCAAAAAGGAGGGAAGATTCGAAAGGAAGGTTGAGATGGGGAGTTGGTGTCCGAGTGGATCTATGTCACGATAGCTCAAGTGGTTTGAGTATTGAACCGAAGGTCGTAGGTTCGAATCCTCCTCGTGACACTAACTTTTTACATGAAGATTACTTAACTGAAAGGACATATGTATTATATTAATATTTCTTTTATTTTGGTTGGGTTTGGAATTTTGGCTGCTGTAATAGCAGGATTTGTTTGTTTATTTCGGACGGATATTAAGTGCTTAATTGCTTATTCTTCTGTGGCCCATATAGGTATAGTTATTTGTCGTTTATTTATTTTTAATTTGTGAGGTTTGTTAGGTTTTGTTTTAATATTGGGTCACGGGTTGTGTTCTTCGGGGTTGTTTGTTTATGAACTAATATTGTATATGAACGATCTCATAGACGAAGAGTATTCGTTAATAAGTATCTTATTTCAATTATGCCTTCTACAAATGTGCCTCATTAAGAGCTAATAATATATCTACACCAAAAACGAGTTCGACGTGGGAACAGGAATATTGTAAATATTATTCGGAAATTGTGAGATGCGGTCTGTGTGATGTCGGTTTCAGAAAAACATTTTCTTTATCGTGCCAACGTTTCGATTTTTATTGAGATCATCTTCAGGGCCTGGGATTACATTAAAAATACGTATTAATTATAAATATACCTATTCAAGTGTCACCCTAGCCGCCGAACTTGATTTAATTAAAGATTGAGTAGAAAGTTATCGAGGTAGCTGAATAAAGTTGTAAATTTGAAAGGTTTATTGTATTTTCCCCGGTCGGGTTTTATGATTTTCGGTTCATTTTCTTTTTATTTTGTATAGTGTGTATTGAACGTGTTGTGTAATGTCTTGGATTGCAAGTAAGCCCTATCTTTGTGCTGATCAGGGTGGTTTCGTATTTCGTTTGTAGTATATTTTTACTCAATTGCTTAGTATTTTCTTTGTATCTTGTTGAACTGGCACTAGGTCAAACGCTTTTCTATTTTGTGCCATCCCTCGGTTCCTTGTTTTCCAACCGTTTGTTGTCATTAATGTGTTTTCTTCTAAATTTGTAAAATATATCGATTAGTTTCTACATATCTTAATCTGTGAATGCGATTTTACAGTCTGTTTTTGAGATGACATTTTGGTTCTGTGTTGTTTTTTGTATGTTGGTTGGCCTAACCTCTAGATGGGTTCTGTCTCCTGCCGGGGCTAGTACTACGAGGCTCGGCGTTGTCGACAAAATGTCCCTTAGGTCCCTTAAAAAGGAGCCGAAGAAGGGCACCACCCTGCACTCCGGCATGGCCAGGGCCCTGTTCAGCGCCCTTTCGTACTCCACTGAAAGCAGAGCTGCTGAAAGAAAGTCTAAAGTAGGCACTGGTTCCTTCTCGGTAATAGAAAGCCAAAACGGCTTGAGCTTGTTCGACCTGAAAGCAGATTTGCACATACACATTGTAAAATTCTATAAATGTTTTTTATCAACAGATAAATTAAAAATACAAGAGAAAGTAGAGTCAACATTTTTCTTTATAAACTGCCCATTGAAGTGATTCATAATTTCGATAACAGTGTTTATTTTATCTTTTTTTAAACCGGATTTAATCCGAAATTAAGATAAGATTTGGAGCGTGGAATTATTAATTTACATCTTTAGTCAGCCAAGGTGTAGACAAAGGTTTTAAGATAATACAGTCTTTTCTTATAATAAAGTGTTGTAATTTATAGTAGATTTATTGTGTCTGTAGATAACAGGGTCTGAGGCAAGTAGTTTCCGCCGGCCTACAACTTTCCAATGCGGCTGGAGGCCGAAAGAAACCCCTGCCCCAAAGCCTTTTCCCCCGATGGATATTCTTCTTAAGTCTGAAATTTAAAAAAAAAACAAAGCAGGAAGGGTCTTTGTTTTGACATACTTTAGTCCAGCTACAATTTCCATAGCACCGTTGAAGTTTCCGATGTTCCAACACGATAGGGCCACCCTGAGGATGCATGACAGTACGGATTTTCTATCCTCGTGAGTAGGCTGTGAAATGATCAAATGCGTCACCCACGAGCTGACCTGAAATCATGGCGAAAAGCAAATTTTAAACAAGTGCAATAAACTTTAGTAAACTGAAGTAATGATTAATGTACCTGGACGTGTTTAGTTAAAAACATTTCCACCAACTATTCTCATTATTTCTATTGCATTTATTTGACTATCTTATATCTTAGAATCTAGATCTTGTAGAAAAAAAATCACTCTCCATACTTTTAAATAATATAACGCGTCCATTTCTTCGTATCATATTCCTATTAACTCAATTACTTGCTAATCTCATCATTTTCATAGTAAAACATCCTTTAAAATGATCTGTCAAGATGTGTAGGATAGTATTTGAAATTTTGAATTAACTGGGCTTGAGGTACCCTGCATAATTTTTCTCCAAAAAAAATGTAAAATTTGAAACCAGACTAAAAAATATTAAAAACTACTTCTACGTTAATGACCACACCTTGGACATTTCGCTTTTTCTCACAAATAAAGTGATCAGTGCCGATCGGTTCAACATGTAAATATATATTCAAAAATTTAGCCCAAATGATCAAATACAGCATTGTTGAAAAATACATAAAGAGAACCATCATCATATGATGAAATGTGTAGGAATACTCAATTAATTAAACGTAAGTTGATAAAATAATTTAAAAAATGTGTAGGAGTTAAAAAAATAGCTCTCACCTCATTGAACCTTTTGATTAAAGATCTGACAGAGGCTCTCGTCGGGTCATGGTGCGGCGGATGCTGCGGGGGCGGGTTGCCTCCGAGGTCGAGGGTCACTTGTCTCAGGTAGTCGATCGGGGGCACCTGGTAAAAGAGGGCATCCTCCTCTTCGGCAAGCTTGAGGCTGACTTCCTCCGGGAAGTGGAGGAGCCGCTGGAGGCCCTCCAGCTCTTCAGAGTCGCCCACCTCCAGGCCGCGGCCCTTCAATACACCTGCCAAGAACCAGGAAGGCATTAGTGCCGGTACGGAAAAAACAAGTATCATGGAATTGTCCTATATATTTTTTTATTATTATTGAATTTAATCCAAACTATTACGTAACGAAAACTTAAAAACAGAAACAGACATGAAAGAGAGATTGATAGGTAGATAGAGAGAGAGTTAGAAAGAGAGAGTTAGAGAGAGAGTTAGAGAGAGAGAGTTAGAGAGAGAGAGAGAGAGAGAGAGAGAGAGAGAGAGAGAGAGAGTGATGGGCAGATAGACAGAGTGAAAGAAACAGAGGGAGAGAGAAAGAAAGTGTAAGAGCGAGAATTAAACCCTGCTAACATTAGCGCACACACACACACACACAAACACACACACACACGCGCGCGCGCGCGCGATTGTTAGATTAAATTAGTTACAAAATAAATAAGATTAGCCGTATGTATGTAAGCATAAACCTAACCAACGATATCCGTGTACTTAAATAAATATTGTACCTAAGCTACTTTTTTTATTTTTCAACAGGAATGATTTTTGCAACTGAAAACAATCAAAACGAGAATTACTCTTCTGTTACCAACAGTAATAACCCAAAGAAAGTTAAGCAGAATATTGTAATGGAAAAAGTTTGTGGATTGAAGAGTTATACCGTCAGGATTTTCAGAATCATTGGTGAAAGTAATTCTCCCATCCTGAATCGGAAATTACACGTTTTGAATACTCCTCGGCTCTGAGGAATAACGCATGTGTTTCTTTAAAACAAATATTTTGTACTAAAAAAAAACTATAGAATTTCCTCTTTAGAGGAGGATTAGAAATTAAATGGTTGAGCAACAATTAAGTTACAAAATGGTTCAAATTCCGCGCTCTATAATTTAAAGATTTAAAGAAATTTGATTGAATATTTTTTAGTCTTCATAAAATTGAACTCAGCGCGGTATCCATAGATCACAGGACAAATAGTTTTCACTGTATAATTAAAATTTGAAAACAATGATTATTTGGAGATCGTGAGGTGCGTTCTGGTGTGACGTAGGTTTCAGAAAACCATTTTCTTTATCATGGCAACATTTCGATCTTTATTGAGATCATCTTCAGGGCTCAAGTGTTTGTTTTCCATGTAGATATGTCATTCTTGTGTGTCGTAATAACAACAATGACACATATACACGGAAAACAAACACTTTGAGGACTGAAGATGATCTCAATAAAGAGCGAAACGTTGCCACGATAAAGAAAATGCTTTACACCACACATTTTAAAACAATGTAATTATCAATCCAATCATACGATGACATTTCCACATTTAAGGAAGACAATGCTTATAGTTTAATATTTTAAAATTTACTCTCCATTTTGAACGGTTGTTCATTACGACTAGAACAACTCATAATCTGAATAAAACTGCTTAATGTTTATCTTTTTTTATTGTTGTTTTTTAGGGCATATAAATTGCGATGTCTAAAAGGTGATTCACGAATGATGTGTCAACCGTCAGGGGGTATTTTACGATCAAAAGACAACCAACAATTCTCTAGTCCATTCTATCATCAATAATAAGAGATATATTTATTTCTCGTGTTGCGTTTTTTTCGGTAAAGCTCTAGTTTCTCTATAAAAAAGTTTGCATCTTCTTAAACCTAAGTAGGTGTCATTAGCAGGGTGATAATTCGATTTTCAGGACTTTGACGGACTTTGGATGATATGCGTATATAAATTTTCTTCAGAATGCACTGCTGAGGTAGCTATTAAAGTTTGGAGGGACGACGGCAGTAGCAACTGAGAGGGGTGTGATAGAGTACGTGGGCACTTTCAATAGTTTTTTGTGTTTTTTTCGATTTGTAACTCTAATGAAATAAAATATTATGATCGAAATACACTTTTTTTCTTCTTTCCTTTGATGCTAGTTTAATGGACCAAAATTTCAAAAGAACTGATTATGAGGGAATCCTTGGTGATTACTGGTTTGTCCAATCCCTTCACCCCTTTTCACCCGATAGCGTATGTTTCACATTCTTGCGTCATTTTCTCTTACAATTTAAGTAGGATTCCAAATGTAAGTAAGCCGCTGGAAAGCTAGATTAATTGTAAAGTTTTTGGAAAATTTGTACAATGTTGACTAGCAGAAACTTGGTGTGATGTAAAGGAAAATTTTCTAAATGTTGCCAATTTAAAATGTTAAAATACTTGCATTATTTCTGTTATAAATAAAATTGAAAAAAAAAAACCTGACAGGATATGTTTTTTCAATGAAAATCTAATCAGCTTTTTAGTGGCTTGTTCAATTTCGTTGTTGGACCAATGGTTCAGAACATTTGTCCGTTTTTATGGAGAAACTCGGGTTTTATTGATAAAGATAAAACGCCACACATATCGTCCTTATTATTGAGAATCAGTCACGGGGCCAGAAAATGTGTTTTAGATGTAGAAAATCCCCTAATGTCTTCGAAAAAAAATCAACGTTTTTACCTAGAGCCTATTTAATATCATTATGATGAATAAAAGGTATTATAGGTCCATTTAAAATATAAACAGCTGCAAAAATTAGAACATAAGTATAAAATGTACTGTAATTTATATGAGCTACATTTTCAACCACCTCATGCGATTTTTTATTAAGATTTTTTAACCAGAATTATCGTTATTGAAATTATTTTTTAATTACCGTGATGAGGAGCGGGGGTAAGGGCATATTCGTCGAGGAAGTGGGAGTCTAGATCCTGGAGGATTGTCCATAAGGCACGTCCGACGTCTCGCATTGCTGTGACCGAAGGGACGACGAGGGACCACCGAGTCCCCCTGAAGTCGAGCTGGAGCCTGTCATGGGATCTTCCTCCGCTTACCTGCCACTGAAAACAGAAAAAGAAAATTGAGCATGTAAAAGAAATATATTTTTTAAATTTTTATCGTATCTCGTTTATGTAGATTAGTTTCATTTCTTGTTGAATGATTGTTTCCTTCCGAGTATATTTGGGGCTTCTGAGTAGTTAAAATATGATCTGTTGGTTTAGCACCGAAATTAAATATTTCGAGTGTAAACAATAAAATATATTTTAGTGGTCGTTTCTGATCATTTTTGTCTTTTAAGCGGTAACACACTTACCCGATGCAACGCTATGCGACGCCTTGTCCCGTTTTGGTAAGGTGTGCACATCTATGCGACGTCAAGTGCACGTCACGTACAGTCACATAGCGTGTATCACAATAATCAGTATCACAATCGCAACGCCTCTTTTTTTCTTAATGCGTTATTTTGAGCAAAACCTTGTAATAAAATGTAAGCTAAATTTTATGAGCACAACCATGTAATAAATTGTTTGTTAAATTTAATTATTTTAAATAAAGTTATTCCGGTGTTTTCATAAATTTTCATGAATTCAAAATTCAAAACTCATGAATTTTTGCTATCGTTTGATTTGGTTTACATTAAAATAAGAATGTTGTAATTAATATAACGAAAAAATTACCTATACTTAGTTTGAATTAAACTACAAAAAATATGAGTGTTCTGTTCTGACGTTACTCGACGAAATGGTGTAATTTTATGAGCGAAACCATTAAATAAATCGTGAGTTAAATTTTACGAGCAAAACCGTGTAATAAATTGTTAGTTCATTATATCAAAAAATGGTATTCCGGTGTTTTGATCATTTTCTACCAAACCATTAAAATTAATTTTTAAAAAAATAAAAACTAATGAATTTTTGATCTCGGTTAATTTGGTTTATATTAAAATAAGTATGTTGTAATTAATAGTACGGCAATAAAACATGTAGTTTGAATAAACACTGAGTGCCCGGTTCTTTTGTCTTCGACTGTACTCGATGCTACCCGACGAAGATCTGGACAGTGGGGATCGCAGAGCGTAGCGTTGGATAGCATCGGGCACATGTGCATGGGGGTAATACAAATCTTATGGAAAATTGGACGGATCTTTTCAGTTAATGTGCCTCCGCACCACTCGACCGCGCTCGGTGACAGAGATCGTGACAAGGGTCAGGTCTCTGGGTTCGGCTCTTATCCTATCTTTCTTATCATGTTTTGAGTCAAGGTGTACAGTTCGGTGTTAAATAACAATGCACTTTCTCGCACTATACGACGCTGTCAAAACCAAGGAAACGGCAGTTCGTTTCCTTCAGGAAAGGAAGTTCTTCCACTAGCTGTGTGATGTACAGGAGGACGCGACGCGAGGCTGCATTTGACAGGATCTCGTGACAAGTGGAGGGGCTACAAACGTAGATGCAAAACGGAATTGGCGTTAAGAAGTAACATTTATCTAACTGGCTCAATACTGCCATATTCGACCATCGTGCTATCCATATACGCTTGGTCATACGAAATAGTAACCGTTAAATATTGTGAAAGAGAGTTAAGTGTAAATCATAACACGTTCGTCGATTGGTGCAACTACATGCACGAAGTCTGTTCGAACTCTTTTTGCGTAGACATTCGAGCATTGGTGGCCCCAATTGCACTGTGGAAATTGATGAAGCTCAGTTTTCGCGCCGGAAACCCTACACCGGGAGAATCTTACCACAGCAGTAATTTATTGGACTCCTATCTATGCGAATTTATGTGGCGGCAATCATGTACGGCAAGAAATGTGGATGTTTTCGAAGACATCCTTAGTAAAATAGTTAAATTTTGGTCCCCAGGACTGAAATGTGATTTCCTTTATTACCAATCTATACTCTTAATTACTATTACACGAATTACCTAAAATAAAATGTTTCAGTATTTATGATTTCCTTTAAAGGAGCACTTCCTTATGGGACCAGAGAGAGATGTTAGCGGTCGAGTGGGGCGGAGGCACATTACCGGAAGAGGTCCAATTGGACTTTGTATTTGCGTCGGGTAGCGTCGCATAGCGTTGCATCGGGTAAGTGTGTTCCTCGCTGTACTCACACGTTTAGGCTTTTCAGCTCGTGTTATTTTTAGTTGGGTCCGTTTCCTATAGTCGTGAAATATTAAAGGGAAATGTCGGTGTTAACTTTGCCTGTCGGCTTCTTTGAGGAGTTTCCGGTGTTCGTCCCGGTCGTTTATTATGACATTCGGGTCGTTTTCTTTTTAAGCCGCGTCAGAGGTCTCTCCGAAGAGGAGGCCTAATATCTGCTGCGTTGCTTCCTTCTTTTTGCCCTTCTCCTTGAGCAATGTTGGTAAGACAGTAAAGGAACTACAAGCGACATCAAGTTTCGATAGATCTGGAGCTTGAAGAGGAAACAAGTAGGACAAATTGACCTTACTGAATGCTACTAGTTACTAACGTTTACAAAGGATCGGTGTTTATATATAGTGTCTTGTGTAAAGTAGTTTCACGTTTTGTCGTCCGAATGTATAGACATAAGACACAGACTAATTATGAACACTGCGAGAAGCCGAAACGCGTATAATAGACTAAAATGTTCCGAAATACCCAAACTACAAGTTAATGACCCAGCGGATCCAAATGCAATTCAAGATCAATAGTGAATATTTAATTTAAAAAAATCAAGATATACGAACAAAAGAATCCAACTTTTTCAGGACAATAGATTATTACCGCTTACGTATTCCCAGGACAAATTGAATAAATTAATGTTTTCCCACAAAATAATACCATATATGACTAGACAGTTGGATCGCCCAGGGTCATTTTTCCAAGTATACGACACTAATATGGTATGCGTAAAACTCCACTGGATTTTATTGCTTTTATTCGAAATGGGTTTGGTAAAAAGGTAGACCTGGTACTAGATAGAAGGAATAACCGGCCGGGACGGATGCCCGTGATATTTACGCCCTTAAATTATTCCGCCCGACCTGTTCCTTATTACCATTAGCCGAGGGCGTCCATCCGCCGGAGGGTTTGCGGTAGGAGTCTTGGCTGGCAGCCCCTGGCGAATCTATTTTCAGCCGGTCGCTGGTATTGGAATTTTGGAGAAAATTGCATTTCCCGGACAGACTGAAGCGATATCCCTCCGGGCAAATTGGCCGTTTATGGATTCAGCACAATGTAAATCCCCAACCGTAGGCTAAGATTTAAAATAGTTACAAGCCCAAGAGAATTAACATACATTACAATTTTAAAAATTTAGCTTAACTACAACCGAGCTCTTTAAACTCATAAAATTAAGTAGCAACCTTGGGATGATTTTGCTCATTTTGAATCTACTTAAAGCACAAATAATACAGGGACAAAAACACGTCTTCCATATGTATCCTACTAAGTGTCATAATGAATACTTTAAAAAAGAATTTGAAGCACTATCTTCGTTGAATTTCTGCTTATCAGTGCACTGTGAGCTCACTCTTAACTTAAGAGCATACTTCTGTAGGTTCAACGATTCCATTAAAGTTCATTTCTCCTGAAGATTGCTTCAAATGTAATACTATTGTTTCGTCCAATGATTACATATTACAGAAATATTTCTTTCTAAAACGAAGTGCTGTAAATGAAAACTTATTTCCAATAAAATTCCTACATACATTTATGCCCGAGCGACACAGCAAAGTATTTCATTTCAATCAAAACCTTACATAAAAAGATTTATTAATCGACAGAAGTAATTTGGTCAATAGACCACTACGTATAATGGATTTAATAAGTAAAACGAAATATATCTACTGGAGTGGCGGATGCCTACACGGCAAAGTAAAAAAAGTATAACTTCACTAACAGCTCCCCGTGGTTATTTCATTCGTCGCCGAGATTGAATCCTGATTACACGACATTTGAAAAATGGTAAAAAAGGGGGGGGGGAATTCTAGAGGCGGGTTGAGGGGGAAGTTGGTGTCCGAGTGGATCGAAGTCACGATAATTCGAGTGGTTAGGGCTGCGGCGTATTGGGCGGAAGGTCGCGGTTCGAATCTCGCTCGTGGCACTGAAATTTTTCATTTCAACCAAAACCTTACATAAAAAGATTAATTAATTGAAAGAAGTAATTTAGAACTAACTAGTAATTTAGAACCAAGAAGAAATATTCAAAGTGGCCCAAATTCAGCATACAATCCCAGACTCGCAATCCACTCCAGAGTAGTTATGAGATTTAAGTTAATTTTAATCCGGTGATCGGAGAAAACAAATTACCCCTACTGACCCGACCCAAAATGTTTATTAATTTGAAATGAAAATTTTTGTTCAGGGTTTTTTATTTAAGAGTGCTTAAAACGAAAACGAATTTGTTTTATATCCCAAAACAATTTTGTTGGTGCACTTTACTGGAAGCGCCTTTTGTTTTATATAGCTATTATTATTTAATAAATCCTCCATATTATATTATTTTCTGATCACAGAGAAAAAAAACAACTAGTTATGTATATATAAAATTTATAAAAATTTATATGTATATATTATATATATATATAATTTTTATACGTTATTATAAATTTTTATTTATTTTTATTTTCTTAAACATTGTAATACATGCATAATAGACAGAAAACCATATTAAACATGTATTTATGTAAATAGCTTTTTTCTCGTTTCTAGGGCCAGTTGGCGGAAAGGTCGGTCACGTACTTAATATTTTTCGACTAGTATTACAAAAAAACAGTTCCCCTGAAATCGATGGACCCACGACCGTTGTTTCCTTTGTAAGACAACCCAAGAAAACTTCTGAACCGTGATAAAATTTCTAATAATCAATATTACAAGTAAAACCGATGGTTCTATTTTTATTTTGAAAAAAAAAAATATATTTTTCGTACGAAACATGTTTCCATGACATAAAATAGTGAAATTGTTTTCCTGAAACCCAGTCTTCTGAAATTTGTCGCAAGGTGTGAAACTGTTATTTGAACAATACAGTTCCAAATTATAGATCGAAAGAAATTGTGCACATCAAATAGGCATCTCCCAGATGACGTATATTGGAAAAACAATGATAGAAAAATGTATTTTTACCGGTGGATGGAAAGAATAAAATCTTATTTTTACTGCGAGTGTCGGACCATCCGGATGACCGTGGATTCTCCTTTTTCCAACTATTCTTTTCCCCAACGTCGAAGAGTGGCGATAACATTTGATTGTTCGCGTCCAAAGAGCCATTCCATAGAGCTAGTGGCCTACACTGGGAAAATAAGGAGAAACTTTTGAATGCGGACCGGTGCTTACATCTTATGCGGAAAAGCTATCCGAACAACTGTCCAATACGATTCGATCTGACGACGTCACAAGCCCTAACAGACTTTGTTCATATTGTAAAGCATGCTTGTATGAAAAGAGTGTCGTGTTCCGACATTTTGGTAATACTTTTAAGTCATAAATAATGCAATCATTAAAATTTTGATTAGACAGTAATAAGATTTACCTGTAAGAGATCGGCAGTATTTTGAGACTTGGCTAGGATTTTAGTCTTGCTGTCGAGTAAGACGAGGTGGTCTTGCCCAAGTCCTAGGAGTCTTGAAGCCTAAAACACGAAACAACAAAATTTTACTAACTTGTCTAAACAATTTAGGTTATGAAAACGGCTTAAATGTGATTGCTATCTATTGTCATTACATAATTGATAATTTCTCCTTTCTTAATCTCTCTCCATCTATTTAAATTTTTCTCAATCCTTCCGTATATTTATTAATAGAGCAATATATATCAATCATTACATTTTTAAGTAGGTGGATATACTCTCTCACCCAATTTTTATATTTCATTTCTACCTTCCTCTCTCTGTTTCTCTGTGCTCTCCGTCCCTCGCTACCCCTCTCACACTCACTCACTCACTATCTATCTATCTCTCTCTCTCGCAAATACTATTAATAATTGAATTTATTATACCCATCAAGTATTCAAACTGTTATAGTGTATTGTATGTTATGTTGCACAAATATGTAAGTTTTGGACAGGATTTGTTTTTTAATAGATTTCTTACTGATGAAAATTTTATTTTAAATGTATGTAATTTACAACATTGTTTCTAAATTTTGTAATTATAAGATTTATTTATTTAGTCATCTATTAAAGTTAAATGAATGTAAATTTGTATTTAGTTATTATTACTGTTCTACATTCAGCATAAATTTTTATTTTTTTATTACTATGTACATATGATCATCTAGAAGCGTATTTGACGTAAGTTCAAATTGTAAAAATTCTCATTGAGTGTAATAAAGGTCAAATTGACCTTACTCTGCGAGATTTGTAAAAATAAATCGTTTATAAAATCAAATCAAATCAAATTTCTCTCTCTCTCACTCTCACNTCTCTCTCTCTCTCTCTCTCTCTCTCTCTCTCTCTCTCTCTCTCTCTCTTCTATTCTCCCAATCGATATTAGTGATTCCCAGTATGATAGAATCTTGAATGTTTACATGATGTACATTCCGATTCGCAAGTTGGGACGATTAATCATCGATGAAGGAATTGTGTACACGATCTATATATAATTCATGTTATCCCTAAAGACAAAAAATTCTATTAATGCCAAAGGATAATCGAAAAGCATAAATGAAAACGGATAGTTTAAAACTTATTTTACACCTTACTCATAAAATACCAGATCGCTTTAATCTCCTGATAATTAATTACTTGAAATGGAGTACTTCAATGCATTAAATGTAATGAGTCTAACAGTACATCAAATCGATCATTCTTGCACTTAAACTAATAGTCTGAAACTGTGGAAACTGGCTATACTAAAGGAAAACTCGAGGAAAATATTTTTTATATTTACATTTCTTACAAGAGACGGAAATGCGGACTGCTTCATTCTTTCTAACTTAATGAAATTCTGAATTTGGGTCAATATATTTTTCTTCTTTTAGGTTTATCTGTTAAGAAAGAAAAAAGGAACAGATTTCATTTTTACTGATAAAACTTATTGTTCTTTTCTATTGATATATCTTGCCAAAGCTCGTTCTAGGTATTTTTTATTTCCCATTTTCTTCGTCTCATTCCTGACATTTTTTTTTACCTTACGCCCACACAACCTTTGATGCTTTCGTCGTATTTCTATAATCTCTACCATTCCAGTTTTGTGAAGGCTTAACGTCAGTTTATAAAATAACACAAGAAACAATAATAATACGTCGACAGACTGTTATCCGAATGAAGCATGGCGAGCCTAACGGAATTCGATTAGCCAGATGAATGGCTGAACTTAAGGGAAATCCAGCCGAGACAAAGGACAGAATGGTGAACGATAACTTAATTTCGGCTAATAACTTTAAAATCCTCCGCCCTCACAATCAATCACGACGTCGACGGGAAAGCTGTGGATCTAGGAAAATTAATTGGAATCATTTTACACTCTAACTGAGCTAATCTTCTTTGACACCCATCAAATTATTTTTCAAAAGAGGATAATTTTAAACTATTTTTTAACTTCGAGTTTTAAAGGAATGAAAGGACGGATTTTTCGACAGAATTACATACATCCTAGTTGCTACCTGTTTAATCAAGTATATTTTATTGATGCGTTCCTTGACTTTATTTGGATAAAAGTATTTTTTTCTATTTTATTATCGTATATCGCATATGAAAAATAGTACGAACTGTGAAAGAATCATTGAAATTTTTATTGTTTTATAAATTAGATTTGATTTATCTTAATTAAATTGCTATTTAACTAAAACAATTTTTCTCTGTTCTTTTATTTTATCATTATATTCTACGCCGGTGGGATATTTTTCTTAAATTAAATACCAAATGGTTTATTATGTAAGATAACGAAGTAAAAAATACAGTTTAAAAAATGGCAGATAAAAAACTTTGTAAACTAGCCATATTTTCTTATTGCTCGTAAGAAAATCTTGGCTAAAACTTAGCAGCAACTTCAACATCTCCAATTTCCTTAAATTATAGGAAGCCCTCTTTTCTATTTATCTTCATGCTCTCTATGGATCGATTTATTTATATAACTGTACATTTTTACATAAAACCCTCCAATTCTTAAACCAAACAAATCCCCCAGCGACCCATCATCGTACAGATAAATCTTCTCCCAATGGTAGCTAAATCTTTGAATGGCTCCTCAAAAGATTAATCTGCATATTCAACTATCCTTAACACCATTCCCGTCCATCAATCCAATCCTTTCAATCAAAAGTCCTCTGTCCCATCCTCAACATTTCCTTCTATATCACTAACCTTCCACAAGGATCTAGACATCCCATCCGTGACTTATTTTATTTATCTTCATGCAGTTTTCCGAGCAGCTTGTCTGTATGTCGGTCGGTCGGTCGGTCGGTCGGTCGGTCGGTCTCTCTCTCTCTCTCTCTCTCTCTCTCTCTCTCTCTCTCTCTCTCTCTCTCTCTCATACCGACAACCACACATTTCTTGTTTGTATCTTTATTCCTAGTTGTCTGTTTTTCTCACACTTTCATTTATCTCATCGCTCTTGCTCGCACCCCCCTCTCTCTTTCTCTCACTCTCATATCTATACAGTTGTATATTCTATACAACTTTCAATTTATATATTTACTTATTGTATCCATCCGTATTGTTGCTAAACGTCACATATTTTTATGTTTTTCAATAGCGAGTTTGTAACACCATGATATGTACTTATAAAGTTAGTTAGTTATAAAACTTGCAAAAAAAGCACGTGATATTTTTTAGCTCCATTAAATAATATGCGGCAACATTGCAGTTTAAAATGCAGAGACTTTGTTTGAGTAAAAGGAGAAATATGCCAGGGGACGAAAGCCAGATTCACCCTGGTGCTCAAGTTTTGCATTATAGTACAACGTTGGCGTTACGACGCAAACTAAAGAATAAATGGATGGTAACAGCTGTTACGACCTTGCAAACCTATTTACATATTACCGTGAAAAATGAATAAAAATTTTCGACAAAAAGGACCTACTTATTATACTTTCATAAACCGAAGTATTTGACTAGAAAATTGACAATTTTTGTATAGTTTTTGAAAAGCAAATGCTCAAAATCAGAACAGATGAAAATATAAGCGAGGAAATGCCTTGGATCGACTGGGTTTTCCGCCCCAAATAAAATTCATTTCTACCTTAGAAAAGAGGATCCGGCCTAAGGCGGAAAAAAAGAAACGAAAGGAGAAAGAAGATCACGTGACTTAAATAATTTCCCGAAGGAGTTTCATATCAAAGGGCAAAAACATCACCCTTTTTCATTAACAACCGTTTTGTTTGTTTTCCTTATTTTTTCCATCATCCATTTATTTCTTTTAGATTTTTTCTTAGTATAGAATTGTAGTTAAATACATTTCTGTTTAATAGCCAAATTTAAGGGGCGTCGGTGACCGCAACGGTTTAGGCGTTGACACGGCGTTCATCACTGTAAGATAAAGGTCTCGGGTTCGAATCCAGCGGCCCTGCATTCGAACCCGACATACTTATAAATGGGCTTGTTTCAAAAACACCGGCACCCGGAGGGTTGATATAACCCTCGAAAAAAAAATAGCCAAATTTGAATTATACCCTGTTGCGCGCTGGTCAAACTATATCGAGTGAATAAACTTTACACTGACAATCAACTGAAACACCAAACACGGTGTAATTGGAGAATTTGGGAAAATTAGAAATAAGAGGACTTATTAGGTGTATTCATCGAAAAAATAGACCGACTTTATTAACCAGAAGGCGTAAAATTTTACTCTATTTCTATTATAACTCTTTGGCCTGAAAGAAAGCTAAGTTTTGAGTGTTTTCACGAATTTTCAACTCTCTCAATCGCTATTTTATTAATTCTGATCAAATTAAAACAAAAAATAAACCGTCACTGCAATTTTTTGTTTAGCAATTTGTAACAAATGTTCAAATATGGCCGGTTATTTCTAACCACGCTGAAGGAACCACTTTAGACCGCACTTTCTTATATTAAATTTTATATATAAATGCGATCTATAGTGATTTTATATAAAATCAATCCAGAAGAAGTTCGCCAAGCTTCGTTGCTGTCATGGCAGAGTGAAGCTTACAAGGTTTGACTTCAGAGAGATTGAGCCAAGATTTCCGTAAATATTCCACATTTTTCAATGTTTTTATTTTTGTTTGAAATTTTATTAATTTACGATGATTTATTGAACATGTATTTAAAATAAATATACTTTATGCTTGTTTCATTTCAATACATCAATGTAATACTTTAGAAAACATAAAATACAGCTGTAGAAAATTACAGACTTTCTGTAATATCTTTTCTTGGAGAGAGTTTGGGGCAAAAATGTCACAGCACGCAAAGAAGATACTGAGTAGAATAATTTAATACTTAAAGAAAGTAAATTGCTATAATGTAGCCTATGCAAATTTGTTTGGTTTCCTTGACCCAATGTAATGTTTTAAGTTTTGTAATGTTCTCCCTTCAGAATTTTACAGTAATTAGCTAGAGAATTTTGATAGAAAGTAATAGTTTAAGTTAGAAAAACCAACATTCGTGAAATTAATATCAAAGTAAGGAAGTTAGATGAGCAGTTCGCTAATGGTTTTTCCCGAATCGACTAATAATCTTATGTCGACCTGCGTATATATCATAATATGCCATATCATCATGGCAGGGTATAAGCGAGGATTATAAATATAAAGGATAAAGCCGAAGCGGCGAATCGGTCGGCCAACTGCATATCGCGGTTTCCGAGAAGCTTGGAAGATTTGAAGAGTTGCCGGCATTCGAGTTTGCGATGATCTTGGCATATCCTCGAGGCATGTTGGTGAACAATGAAAACCCGTTGGCGGGTTTGACGGTACGTCGCCTGTGTTGGGAAGTGTTCGGCCTCGCTCTCTCTTGCGGTTTTCTTTAACCCGAACTTTTCAACGCCATTTGACGTGATATATAATCATAAGATTTCTCCTTCTGCGGCGAAATTAGCTTGTTTTATAAAAATAATATATATGAAATCGATCCTTGCATTAGCACGTTGAGTAATCTCTTGAGAGAAAACACAGAATACACAAGCAGACGCAATACTCGCTCTAAATCTCTGTCTGTCTGTCTATCACTCTCTATCACTCTCTCTCTCTCTCTCTCTCTCTCTCTCTCCCACTCTAAATCTCACTCTCACTCTCACTCTCGGTCTCTCCCTCTTGCTATATATCTATCTATATATGTTTACATACGAAAACATATAAACATCTATCTATATCTACCTTTCTTTCAATTTCTTTCAATCCCTTACTCCTCTCTTTCTCTCACACACACTCTCTCTCTCTCTCCTTTCTTCCTCTATCTCACTATATATATATATATATATATATATATATATATATATATATATATATATCCAACTATATATCTTTACAAATCGTCTAGCGACCCATCCTTATGCAGACCTATAAATCATCTCCCAATCATTGCTCGATTTTTGAACGGCTAGTCTTCAAAAGATTAATCCGCATATTCAACTACCATAACACTATCCCCGTCTATCAATCCAATAGTTTTAATTAAAAGTCCATACTTAACACTCCCTTCTATGTCAATAACCAAATCGTCCACAAAGACCTAGATATCCCATTCGTGATGGACATATTTCATTTATCTTCATGCAGTTTTCCGAGCAATTTGTCTGTCTGTCGGTCTCTCTCTCTCTCTCTCTCTCTCTCTCTCTCTCTCTCTCTCTCTCTCTCTCTCTCTCTTTCTCTCTTTATCAATCTATCTTGCATCTATCATTATTTTCGTGCAGGAATCAACATATCTATCTATAAAACTATTTATTCATATCTTCCTCTATTTGTGTGTATTTATCTCATATATCTATTACAATCATTCACTGTGACACTTCCTATTTTTTTTTCTTACTCATACGCTTTATTTCATCGTCACATTGTTTTAATTTCTCTCTTTTTAGTCTTTTTTCACTAACGTTATACGTATACTTCACTAAAGCTCTCCGTGGCCATTTCATTTGTCGCCGAGAATCCAATCCGATTATACGACAATTGAAAAATGGCAGAAAGGAGGGAAAATTCAAAAGGTGGGGTTGAGATGGGAAGTTGGTGTCCGAGTGGATCGAGGTCACGATAGCTCAAGTGGTAGAGTAGCGGCGTATCAAGCCGAAGGTCGTGAGTTCGAATCCCGCTCGTGATACTGACTTTTTTATCTCAACTTAAAAACCTTAATTAATTGAATCTTAATAATTATAATAAAAATAGTGGGAAAGTGGAACAACTCCCCTTGTCTATTAGCTGGATAAATATAGATATATAGAGAATTTTTAATCTACATATACAAATATTCATCTACAACAATTGTTTCATACAATCACGTCCTCAGTATAATTCTTTCCATTTTTCTTATACAAAACTCGCAGATAGGTACATAACATGTTTATATTTCAGTCTCTCAGTCACTTTATTTTTACAGAAGGAAGCAATACATTTTTAAAGTTAAATTAAATTAAAAAGAGTACCGGGATAATTCGTATACATTTTTCATAATATATATAATACATTTTTCACATATTTAGGAACCTAGTAACAAAAATTACTCGGCACAAGTAGTAAAATTGTAATTTGATATTCTGTAGGACAACTATATACCATGAGGGGTGTAAAAGTGGTATATATTTATCTCTACAAGTATACCAGATGTTAGGTAAATTAATGGGTGTTCTTAATATTTCTAATTAACCCCTCGAATTGGAAATAATCTGTTTGAACCACACAGATATAAAAAGATGTAATTAATACTAGGAGATGTTTTTATATACTGGCTGTTATGTTACTGATTGCTCTAGATTATCTCACGGTTTTATTTCGCTTTGATCATATTCGTGGAATGAAAAAAGACATATTCATTGAAAAGACGATGGTTTTGAAAATAAAACGAATTAGCAAATCAAAGGGACAAATTAATAGTTCTAACAAAATTATAAATAGGATTATTAATTTTCAACTTGGAAAACTTCTCTTTCTTTTTTGTATTATATTGAAAAAATATTGAAGTTGACCCCGTTGTGAAAGTTTTATCAGCCTTTCCACCGTCGTACTCGGTTTATTTAATGTTTCTGTGTTTAAGGAAGCGCCGAGGAAGGTCCTTTTTCTACTTCGCGACTCCTCGCTATGAATGATCATCGATGCGCGACAGTAAACTAATCCGTACAAACGATTCTCCTTTTCCAACGGTGGTTTTATTTGCAAAACTTCTCGGCGAAATCGCATCGCTTCCAGCCGACGAATCAATAAGAAGATAAATCGTGATTGTAATAAATCATAATTTATATACACGATGGTACAATAATAAACAACTTACATCTCCAAAAATATTGTTTTCTTATGATACGGCTAAGATATACTTAGTGATATATCTGACCTTTTTCTTTGTCTTTCCTCGAAGAAGCTCCTTGACTTGGTAGACCTTACAGCCATAAGCTGGAAGGCGCCTACATGTCTGAATGTAGAGCTTTTTCAACTGAATCTCCGATTCGTATACAGAAGTGTGGAACAACTTCCGCTTTTGTTCCTGAAACAGACAAAATCAGATATTAGTTCGGGCTCTTTAGAACTTTTAGGTGCATTTAACATAAAGTTACGATAATATTTCAATTTCAGTTTGATATGATAATGATAATAAATATCTATAAATCAGCTCATTTTCATTATCGCAAGGCCAGCAATAAAGAATATTTTTGTGAATTTTATTATTATTACAAATACTATATACTTTACTCACTGCTGATCTTGTATTTCAAATACATTTTTGTTTTCTTCCGTAACTCGTAATCAATCTAACTCAATTTATGTATGTCTCTTTTACGTTCTCTCTAATGTAAGAATGCGAGCAATTGACTAAATGTTGCGTCTCTAGATAAAACTTAATTCTCTCTTTTTTTCTATCGCTCACATTTACTGTCTCCCTTCTTCCCCTCTCTCCCTCTTTCTTATTCTCTCTCTGTCTTTTTATCCCTTTTCTTTCGCACCACATTTTCGTTCTCTCTAACTTTTAACTTTACATAGTCCTGCCATAAGTTCTGTTACAAGAAAAAGGGCCATTATGAATAGAGAAACTTAATAATTTGAAAAAAAATTTATTTTAAAAAATCTAATATATCCAATATTTTCAAATTATCAAGTTTCTCTATTCCCTAATGGCCCTTTTTCTTGTAACAGAACTTATGGCAGGACTAGGTATATATACTTTCTTACGGTTTATCTGTTTCTATCAATATTCAACTTTTATCAGTGTCTTGGTAATTTTGTACTTTACGTGACTGTCTGTCTCAGTCTCTCTCTCTCTCTCTCTCTCTCTCTCTCTCTCTCTCTCTCTCTCTCTCTATCTATCTTTCGAAGTATATATCTTCAAAATCAACATCCATGAATCTATACCTACCTTATTTTACATTTTTCCCTATCCCCTTCTTACTCACTCATTCACTCATTCTCTCTATCTTTCGATCTGTGTATGAATTTGTCTTTACATATGTACACATATTGACATATATTTGTTTATATCTAACTTCCTATCAACTTCTCTCCATAATACACACACACACACACACACACACACACACACACACACCACATTTTCTCCATCCATGCAATATATGTGTGCATGTAAACATATTTATGTACATACATATCCATGTAAATGTGAGTAAGAACTGTCAGGCATTTTAAGCATTCCCGAGTGCAGGTCATCGGCAAATCAATCTAAACTATTAATGATGGTTTCAATGCTTGTTTGTTTTAATAGGATTAAGTATCATTATAGCCCAGGTAATGCTGTGATGCCATTAATCGTACTGTAATAATTTGGCCAACTCTATTTAACGATTGATTGAGCCTTGGCAAATCCGCCCATCTTTCTCTAGTTTACTGTGGAACAAGCTTGCCAACTTGTGTGATATATTTATTGATTTCGAGACATATTGGTTGTTTCTTTCTGTTATTCGTAAGAAATAATACACGTGTGTTAATTATTTAATGATGAAATATCTTTCTAAACAATCAAACGTAATTTATTTTTGTATCAAATAAATTAATAATATTTTTACTCAAATTATTGGTTATTTATTAATTTATATAATAATGGACAATCTATAATAAACAAGCTCTGGTTAAAATAATAATTGAAAATATTCAGTCATTACTTTCACACAAACATGCTAACAGAACAAACTGAAATACACAGAATACACGCACGCATAATTAATGAATATTAATACTAAATTATCTGTAAACTTTGTCAGCACGTATTCATCAATCGTTTAAATGCAACAATTCTATATTTTTGTTTAGAATATAGTTATAAACGAGAAGCGATAGGAACGAAACGTTAAAACGGCCTTTTCAACTGTAAAAGTCAGCCCAATTATCTGCTGTGATTGCTCTGAGACAAACAACTCGACAGGAAAGTTTTTTCCCGGTCTAAATAGATTCCCCCTTCGGGGTGAAAATCCTTGTTTCTTACCAGGCCGACGGCGGTTAACTAAGATAAATTGTTTTCCCTCCTACGCGGCTTCTCTTCTCCGAGGACGCCCGTGCTCAAGAAAAGGGGGGTGGTTTCAGAGCGAGGAAATTGCTTTAATTGGAGAAGGGAGGTTTCCCAAGGGGATCGGGTCAATGAAAAATGACTTATCACATTATTAGACCTCCTACACGATTATGGCTTATTACATGTGCCGGTTTACGACCAACAAATTTAATTAGGATCAATTGCTGTTTAATTCAATGTTAATAATAATAATAATAATAATAATAATCCGCAAGGAATGTATAGAAAGATAAAATCGTAGATAACCTGAAACACTTTTTTCCGTAATCAAACCTTTTCTTATGCTTTCTTTATCTCTATCTCTCTACCGATTTTCTTTATCTTCAACTTTATATCTACCTTCCTACTTTGACCTGCTTCTTTTTTAGACTCTTTCTACCATTTCCTTTCTCTCTTTATCTGTAATTTGTATCAAATTTTGGAGGGCTGTACATGATTGTCTGCCTTAATTTCATTCATTCTCTATCTCACTTCTCACCAATTTTCTAAGGTAAGAGTGGTGTATCTGTGCCAATCCTTGCCAGTCACAGTCTCTCTCTCTCCCTTTCTTTCTATTTCTCCCTCCCTCTCCCACGCTCTCTCACTTTTCTCTTTCTTTCTCGTTCACACCGTCTCTAACGTAAGGATGGTGTACATATCTTTGACAGTCTCAGATGCGCTCTCCCTTTCTCGCCATTTCTCTCTCTCTCTTTCTCTCTCTCTCTCTCTCTAATGTAAGAGAGGTTAGTAATCGGCCCATTCTGCGGCTCTAATTAAAACTTTATACAGGGAAGTGTTATATTTAGAGAAAAAATTTAAAAATTCACACACACACACAGACGAACTATTAAAAAAAGTGTGGTAATCACGCCAACTCTAGTGCTACTGCCAGCCCAACTGCTGCGATCTCCCCGGAAAGGAAAGAAGGAAGTCGGCACAAAAAAAGACAAAAAGATAGACGAGTTAGACCGTCAAAATTTTGATCAATTAATTTAATAGGTATGGTTTTCAACAAAACTTTAAGCGATTTTGTACGTGTTCCTTGCAGCAAATTATGCTGAATTAAAATTGAGATTGCGAGAGAAATGTCATCGTTTTCCTCGAACGACCTCGCTTCTTAAGATTATACTATGCTATAAGGAAGTGTAGGCATGTGGCACCAGGAACTAAAATTAGAGTTTTGCTCTAACCCGAATCGCATGCTTTATCAACAGCTCGAAAATAGAATTTCAATTAGATTTGCACACTGGACAAAAATCGTTTTATCAAATCTGTGCCATTGTCCCATTGTACATGCAGAATATAAATACTTTAAATGGAATGTTGATCCAAATGTTTAGAGATAACCCATTACTGATTATGCGGTGTGTCATTTGTCAGCTTGATAATCTTCAATCGTCGTAATCGTCTCTTTTAAGATTTCATTCCATTGCTACCTAATTTTTTATAAATCTTTATTTACAAATTTAAATAAATCGAAGCTTTTTATCGTACTGATGATTTCACGCTAAGAGAAGCTAACCCAGATGACTAAGTAAATCGTATTTCTCCTAATATTTTGTCTAAAAAGGAAGTTTTATCTGATATTTTAAATTCTTATACATTTTAGTTGCTATGTTTTCTGAAAATTCTGGGATGACATCTGGGGAGTAGGAACCCTCAGTAGCTAGGGTGAGAATGCCACCCGATAAGAGTATGCATTGTGGTTAAGAACGGCAGCGAACGTGACCTACGTTCCGATTTTTGGAGGAAACAGGAATGTTTTATTGTATTGTTTATAGTACTGGAAGTAGTAGGAAGCTGAAGCGCGTTTCAGTAAAACAGAATAACCGCGAGTGTAGACGGAGTAAGTGCCCAGGGCCGCGTTAATCTAGGAACACACCCAATGTAACGCCATGCGACGCTACGCAAATCCCAAGTCCAATTTTCCATAAGGTTGTATTACCCCCGTGCAGATCTGCCCGATGCTATGCTACGCTAACCTACCCTACGCTCTGCGATCCCCACTGTCCAGATTTTTGTCAGGTCACATCGAGTACAGTCGAAGGCAAAAGAACCGGACACATGTACTATTGCCGTAATATTAATTACAACATACTTATTTTAATATAAACCAAATTAACCGGGATCAAAAATTCATTAGTTTTTATTTAAAAATAATAATTTTAATGGTTTGGTAGAAATTGAACAAAACACCAAAATACCATTTTTTTGATATAATGAATTTAACTAACAATTTATTACATGGTTTTACTCATAAAAATGAACGAATAATTTATTTCATGGTTTTGCTCATAAAATTTTCATCGACGCTTCAGAACAGGACACTCATATTTTTTGTAGTTTATTTCAAACTAAGTATATGTAATTTTGTCATTATATTAATTACAACATTCCTATTTTAATGGCAGGCGTTGTGATCGTTATAGTGATTATTGTGATATATGCTGTGTGACGTGCGCTTGACTTCGCACAGATGTGCATACCCTACCACCACACCGCTAGCGTCGAGTAGCGTCGGATGGCTTGCATCGGGTAAGTGTTTCCCAGCTTTAGCATGTGTTCACCATAATTTTAATAATACGAAACCCAAAAATTCGCTGCCTTACTCGAGCACAATTTTCTTATCGGATGGCTCTCTATATTTAGCCAAGGAATGTCACCATCAGATGGGACAAATTGAGCGAACTTTATCTGCATGTCGGACACATTAAGGGCTTTGGCCTAAAAATAAGGGTTTATGTGGTATCCGCGTATGGCCGATTCTTAGACTTAGTAGGGTGGATCTTTCTTATGCAGTATAAACTCGCTGAGGTATCGACCGTCCTGTCGAAGCGCAAGAACTTCTCGGACGTTGCCACCGTTTCTTTACCAATTCTTTATTGCTCGGTTATCTTCAGCAGAAATAAAAACTTGTCAAATTAAACTAAATTTAAACTAAATTAAATTAATAATCTTGTTTAACTGTTGTCCATATCTGCTTGATAATT